TCAGCACAATCCTCTGGCGACTGAACAACAAATCCGCCACTGTTCGCCAACAAGCCGCAGACCTCATTTCGCGCATTGCGATGGTAATGAAGCAATGTGGCGAAGACGCCCTGATGGGCAAGCTGGGGGTCGTCCTGTACGAGTATCTCGGTGAAGAGTATCCCGAAGTCTTGGGGTCCATTCTAGGCGCTCTCCGATCCATCGTCACCGTGGTGGGCATAAACCAGATGCAGCCGCCCATTAAAGACCTTTTACCGCGTCTAACCCCGATCCTACGCAACCGCCACGAAAAGGTCCAGGAAAACACTATTGACCTCGTCGGGCGGATTGCGGATCGAGGACCTGAATCCGTTAATGCGAGAGAGTGGATGCGAATCTGCTTTGAACTTTTGGATATGCTGAAAGCGCACAAAAAGGGAATTCGCCGAGCCGCGAACAACACGTTTGGATTTATCGCGAAAGCAATCGGGCCGCAGGATGTTCTCGCGACCTTACTCAACAACTTGCGCGTTCAAGAGCGGCAATCCAGAGTGTGTACTGCCGTAGCTATCGGGATCGTCGCGGAAACGTGCGCACCATTCACCGTCTTACCGGCATTGATGAATGAATACCGCGTCCCTGAACTCAACGTGCAGAATGGCGTGTTGAAATCCCTGAGTTTCCTATTCGAATATATCGGCGAAATGGCCAAGGATTATGTCTACGCCGTTACACCCTTATTGGAGGATGCGCTTATTGACCGGGACCAAGTCCACCGGCAGACTGCCGCCAGCGTTGTTAAACATGTTGCCCTAGGTGTTATGGGTCTAGGGTGTGAAGATGCAATGGTCCATCTCCTTAACCTTCTCTATCCCAACCTGTTCGAGACGTCACCCCACGTGATTGACAGGATCATCGAGGCTATCGAGGCGATAAGAATGGCGGTCGGCACTGGGATTGTGATGAACTATGTGTGGGCCGGATTGTTCCATCCAGCGAGGAAAGTTCGTACACCATATTGGAGGCTATATAACGATGCGTATGTGCACAGTGCTGATGCGATGGTCCCTTACTATCCGAATTTGAAAGAGGATGGGCTGCCTAGGGATGAATTGTATATCATGGTTTAATAAGCCAGAGTGAGGAAATGTGAATGGATCTGCCGGAAATCTTGACGTCCGTGGCGCAAAACAAGCCAAAAAGGAATATCGAAAGATGGGCTGTTTCATTTTTCCAAGTGGAAGGGGTTCCAGCAATTCCTGCTCCGACACATGAAGTACGAACAGCGGAAGCTCAGAGCTACCTTGTGGCTCTCGGGGACGTCTGAGAATGCGAGTCGAATCTTGCTTATCATGTTGATAGGTCAGGGCTTCGACGAGACGGGACAAAAGTAATGGCCCTTCTTCGATCCCTTTTCAGTGGTGGAATAGAAATAAGAAGAGGGTCAATCAATCTCGTTGACAGTTAATAGTTCTCAAAACACCTATGTGATTTTTCTCCCGACGGAGGCCCAATACTCGCCTGTCTGAGCCGACACCTTTTCAACAATTTTCTTCGGATTTTGCTCTATATGCCCCCGAATTGATTGATAGCCCAGGATGGACTGACAAGAGCTTGGTTTAGCTTGACCGTCACAGACATACGGGGGCGTGCTGGACTTCTTCGAACATGGGGGCTTCACTCACTCTCTTTCCACACCCCCCCCCCCCCCCCCCCCCCCCCCACCTTGATGGAGACTAACGAGGCGGTAACAGTCGTCTCAGGCTCTGTCAGTCGTCCCCGCCGCCTCCAGCCCTGCCAGCTTTGGAATTGAGGTATTCGTTCCTATCTCAACAGGTCTTGTCAGTATGTATACGGACAGACGTTGCCAATTGTTCCCGTCACTAGAGAGAGACAGATAGAGAGAGTGGGAAAGAGAGATTCCCAGCGAGAAGGGTCCCCTCTCCACCCCTTTACAAATAGACATACATCCCTTGAGATCCACTCTGATCGTGTTAGGGAACAAGGGACAAGATAAGAAAGAGACTCGATGTGAACTCACTCACCGTCGATTCGCCCAGTCCATCAACAGATACGCGACGGCGAACGGCGGGACCCAATACAGGACCTGGTTCTTGGTCCGGCGGAACGTGTTGAAAACAGCGTTGTGCAAGGCTCGGGCTAGCGGGTTTTGCCTGTTCGGCGAAACCAGGTACGTCACCACGCCGCGCTGTGCTGGGAGCTCTTTGTGACCCCAGCAGTAGACTGGTTTCCTGAACCCGGAGGAAGGCTATTAGCATCGAATGAGTGAAGATACCTGGGGGAGACGGGACTGGTTGGTTCATGGGGTTGGTTGGTGGATATGGTTGAGAGGGACGAACAGCTTCCGGCCCTTGGGAATGTCCTGGTTGTATTCCATGGTTCAATTGTAGTGGAATCGTTATACTGAAGGTCGATGAGTTTGTAGAAGAGTTGCATTCTGTCATGGCGGAAGCTGACCATTCTTATATGCTGTCGGGGCAGCCAGACCTAGCTTTGTTTTCTACCAGCTCGAGATAGATTGCGTCGCACTGAAGTGGAGGCACTTGGAAATGCGCATTGTCTGACAGATAGCTGTCACCTCGGACAGAGAGCTACCAAGCAATGTCCATGTCTGCAACGGGCATCTGCTCGAGTCAGACTCTTGCGAATTTTCCTCTTCTCCCAGCGATGTACTCAATTATTACATGGCGCACGACGTTGTGGAGCTCTAGCACCATCTAACGTGAATAGTATTAGTTTCCACTCGCTTAATTTAGAAGAGATTCTGGCGAGTTCTGGGTACCTTTGGGCGTCAAAGGTTGAGTGGAGCTTTTTGGTCCTCGTATGTAGAGACGACTCGACGATTCATATTCCGTGCGTACTCAGTACAGCCTCTTCGGTGGTTGGACAGAAGGAGATCGCGCGTGTGTTACTGGAGGTCAGCGGCGGCCCTACCAAACTGGATTATAAGAAGCATCCGTTGAAGCATTCCGTCATACTCCCTACGCGGCTCTGGGCCTCCAATTCCAATGAACTCGGCCCATGAGATCAATCTAGACTCTAGACCGCCGTGGGCGGCCACGGCAGCTTGCCATTCTTCTTCGGCGTCTGCCTCCCAGATGCCGGTCCTTGCATCGAAAGGTAGCGACTCCACGAGGGGACGGTAGTGGCAGTATCCTTGCTGGGCCACTTCCACCATTCCGTCAATAAGAATGATATATAGAAGGGTTCGGCGGGTGCTTTCAGCAATACACCAAGCATGCCATGCCGACAGGTTGCTGCTGAGAGTTTGTGGGAGTGTCATGTGCAAATGCCGTGTCCATGTTTTCCAGAGATCAAGCACAATCTGTGGCAGCTGGGCCTTGCGCGAGGATCGGTCTAACTTCAGGATGAATGAGAGTAGAATGGCCGCCAGCTCGTGGAAGGCGGACAGAAACTCGGTGAACGTTAGCTGTTCGATCTCCAGCGACAATAGGTGCTGCTGCATTGTTTGGAGGAAGGCGGTATTAAGGCCAGATATCGGCCGAGAGCTATCGACCTCTGGAAGTCCCAGATCTGCAGACGTCCGCTTGCTAGCCAACAGTACCTGACAGTGAATGTACGGAGTGCTTCTTTGCTGGAATGTGAGCAAGGGTATAGATTTTAGGTGACGCTCTACAACCAAGAAGACCGTATCCGGGTTTGCCATTACCGGCAGCATTTCGTGGCCCCCGGATGTGTATGACCGCACGGCGGCTTCGTGAGCCGAAGCGACCGAATCGAAGATGACCGGAGGTACAGGCTGGCAAGCGCTTTGCGTCGTGGGATGCGGCTGACGAGAGCTCTTCGTCTCGAGATTTGTCACAGGTTCCAAGTCGTAGGAGCAAGGTAGACCTCTTTCAGCACAACGTGAGCACTGTGGTAGTTGAGGCACGCAACGACGCTTTGCGGTTGTGCAGGCATGGCAGGCTTTACGGAGGGATGGCGGCATTGCAAAGATTAAGGTGTTGGTTGGAATAGACCAAGAGGTTGACAGGAAAAGGGAGGCGACGGTGAGGTATGTGTTAGGTGCAAAGCAAATGGGTTTGTACCTACCTAGGTAGGTAGGTACCTGCAATACCTGGTAGGCAGGCAGCTTAGGGTACCCTGTACCCCCTTACTGTTCCTCTTTATGTTACTAGCTACCCAAGGACCTATGCCCACCAGCCTAATCAGTCCCTAGGCAGCCCCCTAGCCCCTGTGTTGCTAGTAACCATAACATGCCATCCCCGAAGAGATGGGCGGGCTAGGGGGCGTCTAGTGAGTCTAAGTGTGTGCTCTGGCAGCCAGCATAAACATTGCTCCGGCCCACACCCGCCTCAACAGTTTTAAGTGCAAGGTGCTCCCGTCCAGATAAATTCAATGAACTCCTCTTCGTCCCATGTTCTTCCTCGTACCACGATCTCTCCTACTTCATGTATGAAGTCGATTCACCCCGACTTGGAGGGCAAACAAAAAGCACAATTGCTATTTCCTCCAGGGTGGGACGTCCAGCAACATCCATCCCAACATGCTTTTCCCAATGATGTCGTCTAAAAGCGAGCACATGTCCAGATCTTGGTGTGAACCACTCAATTCGTTGTCAAAAGGTCGAAGTTCAAATGCACAAATCAAGATCAGGTAGGCGAACAACGACAGCCCGATGATGCACTTCCCTTGCCCCCAATTATGGTTGGCCGGCGCCCCTAAGCGAGCCTCGGGACATATTTGTTCTGTTCGGCCATGTCGCAAACAGATGCTCTTTTTGTTCTCAGGTCGTTTTAGGGGCTTGTGCCGGCGCTTCTATCGAGAATCGTGCTACACAACATACAGTTTGAGGCTGAAAAGTCTGGGCAGCCATTCGCCTGCCTCACCGCTTGTCTCCTGGGACACCTCTTGGCCTGGTGACTGCCGAAAGCCGTTTCTAACTAGCGCGTTTCATGTATTGAAGAGCCTCACCTGCACCCTGTTCAACAACTCCCCTGTTGTCTTTTGTTTCCCCCATCATGGGCAATTAAACAACTATGGAGGCAAAGCGTACTTTGCTCGAGCGGGCGGCGACCGCCGGACTGATCGAGTTCCCGCTCGAGGCCGGAAAGAATCCCAGAAGTCACAATCTGGTTGAAGCAGCGGACCGGATTGACTCGTTCACCGAGAAGGCCAAAGGCAGAGTCACATTATTCCTGGGTGCTGCTATTTCCACTTTCAAGCCAGCGCAGTTGCCCATGTGGAATGACTTTGTAGAACTGTTATGGACGTCGGCTCTGAATGTTGCCGTCACAGACTTACAGCCTGATACAGGTTCGCGTTGAACTTGACCCTAGGAAAGGACTGGCTGCTGATACCTCTACAGTGTCTGAAGGAATTCTAGGTTTTTTTGACCGGCTCAAGAGGACCGTACCAAATTACATGGTTACCGAAGTCATCTCAAGACGCCTAGGGCAACAATATCTGCAAGTATTGGATGCATTTGAGGCTGAGAAGCAAGACAATGGGGCTTTTGCTTTTAACAAGATACACATGTGGGCTGCTGGGCTTCTAACAACAGGTGAAGTCGCTGCAGTTATGACCACAAACTTCGACAACTACTTGGAAAAAGCCATTGAGAGCAAAACGTCCCTCTTTTACCGAGTCGTTGGGGACCCTCATGTGGACGGCAGGGAAATTCTCTCTCGTTTGCCATTGACAACGTCGGCCAAAAAGCTAGTTCTGATTGTGAATGGTGCAAAAGCCTTCGCTTTTATCCGATCGCTCATGCCGCAGCTGGGCAACGGGAAAGTAACGTTCCTGTTCAAAATTCATGGCTCTTGCTATGATCCAGTCAGTTGCATTGACACTCGATTGCAACGTGCCCAAGGCCTACCTTCTTTTGCAACCGACGTGCTCGACATTCTACTAAAACGAACCGTGTGGATGGTTGCAGGCTTCAGTGGAAGCGACATGAATGACAATCTCGACTATCTGCGCTTTTTATCAAACAAGAGGCAAGCCTCAATCGTGTGGCTCACATTCCCCCGGACTCCGTGGGAGTCGGCGATCGAAGGCCTCACCTCGAGCATGGACTTGGGAAAGGATTCGCCTGTTGGATTCTGCCTACTTAATGGATATTTCCTTGGAGAAAGGCATTCAGGCGAAAGCAAGTTCCCTCGCTTCGAGGAGAAGATCAGATCATGGGCGGACGACTTGGGACCAGATTGGTGCAAACTGCTCCTGATCGACTTAATCACGTTGTTCGAGGAGAGGAGTGGAGAAAAGGCTTACCCGAAATTGCTACAAGCCCTTAACGGGGGAATATCGCCGAGGCGGGACTGGAATGGAATTTTGCAAAACATGGATCTTCAGACAGAAAAATCTCAGGCAAGCTATTCCGTACTTATTGTCCAGGAAGTCATACTGATTGAAGGTTTAGATCCGGCCGGCTAAGAGCTGTTCCGAAGTATGGGAAACACTAAACCGTCTCCTCAAAGACGAAGACTCAGTCGCGCTCGGAGCCAAGCAGGAAATCTGCAGCAAGCTGAATAAAGGTCTCAAAGAGCTAGAGTTGCATCATGTTGAACTCGAAGAGGCTGCTTTGCTTCAAGCGCCTCCTCGGCATCATGCCCAGTCATGGGTCGTGAGTGCCCTGAGCGGACTGGCGATGCTATGTGGAGGCAAGATGGAAGACGCTGTCAGAGCGCTGCGGATATCAAGCGGCGTTGCTTGGTTAGTTGGAAATTACGAAAGTCGCCATTTGATCGAGGACGTCCTGACTGCCATTCTTCAAGAGCGGCGAGCTTCAACGGAATCCAGACTGGTAAAGACCAGCGCCACCCAACGAAGTGCAAAATGCGTCGCCTTCAGCCCTTCGATGGACAATGTCAACGCTAAAATGAATAGATTTGGTGTTCCCCCTGAAAATTACATGAGAGCCCTCCTACATCGATCTATTCTGTTCGCCGATGGCATGGCTGTTCCTCCAAATACCATCACCAACTCTACGGTGTTTGTGGATGAGATATTGTTCCAAGGCCAGCGCGACCAGTTGGACGAAGTCTATATGCGTCATATATTCCCAATCTTACCAGCGAATCTGAAAGACGGCCCTCGCAAATTGCAAAGGTGTCGTGAGACTAGAGCGAAACTATACATATTTGAATCGGTCAGCGAGGATCATATTGCGCAGATGGACAACTACTTTGATGATCCGGCGAACACTCACCAAATCCTCTATTACGACGAACCTACACTGAGTTTGGACTACGGCAAGTATCTCCGGGCTGAAGTTGGCCCTCTTCATCGGGACCAAACCGTCGAACATCTGGTCCAACTTTGGAACCACATCGAAGCGGGAGGGCACTGGGATGTGGACGATGCCTATGTTGAACGATCTTCGATTGCGAAAGAGGTGGCTGAAGACCTTTCCGACTCCCTTTTCCTATTATCAAAGCACCTTCCAGAAGCAGTGTTTCGATCGCCGCTGTACAAATTCGCAGATCTCTTTGATGAAGCAAGCGACAGAGACAGTGTCATCCAATTTCTCACAAAGGACACCGGCGAGGACGCTAAGGCCCAGCTTCTGATGGCGCGGGATCGAATCACGGAGAAGCCCTGGCTCTATGGCCCCTTTTGCCACGAGATGTTTGATGCCCCGTACCGTGCGACTTTGACATTCGACTATGCTTCACATGCCGAAAATGAAACGCTCATCTTTCTCGAGGATGACGAGGTTCCCTCATGGCAGTTCATGTCGTCAGTGGCCCAGTCGGGAGATTACAAAAAGAGCTTTTCAACTTTTGCGGTTTCTTCTGGCAGCCACAAGTACTCTTCGTTGCTCCTAAGTCAAATGCCTACAGCAGCTTTGTTGGACATGAGGGACGACCTGGCGCCGGTTCGGGAGAAGATTTTCAATGGCGCAGAGCTTTCGGCGGACGATGTACAAAGAATGAAGAGTGCCATGCGTTCATTTGAAAGTCGGTCACTGGTCCTGCCCGCGGTCGAAGTCGAAGGCATCATTCATCTTGATCCACACATCAAAGAGCCGGCCAAAAAGCTGTTGTCGCAGTGTCTCTTTCTGGTTAGAAAGGGCCTCCCTCTCGAGCCCATGTATGAAGAGGCACAAGTCACCCTTCCCGGACTGCTGGCCTTGCGACGGGAGGCGACTTGAACGGATCACCATTCCTTCGACTGAAAAGGGGCGTGGGGATCATGTGGAGGGATGGGTGACTCTGGGAGGTTTGTTAGCAGACGCTCTTCCAATTCAATTATGCTCAGTATCTTGTTCAATCGATATATAATATGTATATATATATACACGCTAAGCGAGCACCATCCAGTGACGTCGTCCTTGCCTCCTGATTGCATGTAGATGGGCCAGGGGGCGCGTCGGCTCTACCTTCTTATATTGTACGACAAGAATGTCGATCTCGGCAGTTTCGGGCCCAGTACGAGATCCCGTCTCTATTTAGCCTTTGAACCAGCGGGTATAAGTCAGCTTTCAAAACCTCGCAATCGTCGCCGCCACTGTCGGCTCCATGCTCAGGCGAAGTTCCAACTCGCCAGAAGAATGTTGTTCGAGGAGGAGCAGGTATCTGCCGCTTTTGACGATTTGGTCGCTCGCCAGATAATTCTCTATGGTCCCGAGACCGTCGTCAGGACCAGGGACAAAGGCTTCGATGTGAGATATGGCCTTCCCCTACCTCAATCTAGACGGAAGAGACACTTACAACGATGTGGAGTTCGAATTCCGCGTATGTCCAGCACTGGCGTCGAAACCGGCCACGGCTGAGGCGACCAACAATACTGCATTTGAACAACTTCCTAAATATGGACCTGGAAGTGACCTCGTCGACGCCGATCCGGGCCTTATTGTGACCAAGATTCATGGAACCCATCTTCTGGTCCTGAACCGGTTCGCTGTCTTTCGGCCGCAATATTTGATCTTGACCCTCGATTCGTTCAGGCGGCAGACGGAGAACCTTGACGAGACGGACCTCAAAGCGGCAAGTCTTGTTCTTGACCATCTAAGCCATGAGCATTTTATCATGTTCAATTGTGGAAACGAGGCCGGTTGCAGCAGACTGCACAAACACATGCAGGTTATCCCTTGCTTGGATGGCTTCACGCTCTTCCCTGATGTTGAGGGTCTGGATCCTGAGAGCGTTCCATTCAGGTATTTTATCCGACGGATCGAGCCTGGAACGGACGGCGCATTGGACTCTTTGCTTCCAATATACGAGAGGCTGCGCAACGAAGCTTATGAGGCCTGGCAAGCCTACACTGGCGACACACTGGACTACTTCCCTCACAACATGATGCTTACGAAAAGGTGGATGATGGTCGTGCCGCGCCGAAGAGTAGCCGCGGCGCAAGGCGCAACTGCCAATGCCGCAGGCATGATGGGTATGGTTTGGGTCACGAACACACAACAGATGGATCGGTGGCAACAACCGGGACCAGCACAGGTTCTGGCTGAGCTTGGTGTACCAACTGGGAAGGGTATGTGATCGGCCACGGTTATGGGCATGGGCATGCTCTCGAACACGGGAATAGATCTTGCAAGGGGCAACAATATCCCCAGGACGCAATTTGGGCATGAAATGCGAATGTCTTCACGTCAAAATCCCGTCCCTGGTCAAACCCTCGTACAGCGCCCAGGCTCCCAGTGTCTTTGCATCCCTCGCTCCTTCCCTCCACAGCTCCTTGTACTCGACCAGTTTCACCTTGATTTTCTCTCTTTCTTTGGGATTTCCGGTCAATCTGCCTCTCAGCTCGGCGAGCTCCTTGCGAGACATAGTCCTCTCCCACAAAAACAGGGCGATGAATTCGTCACACCCCCCAGGGCTAGGATACATTGCCTTTTGCAGGTGGCTTTCAATACCAGTGGAGTTCCTCAGTGCCATCTCTGTCATGTCGACGAGCTCTCCCTGGGGGACTTTCCAGCCCGTCTCCTCGCGGATCTCGTTTGCTGCTGCGCCTACAAATGTACCTGACTCGTCAATCATCCCTGCCGGAATCTCATAGAAAGTGAGGCTCCCAGCTGGTATCCGCGGTTGTTGAGTCATGACGACGAATCTCTCGTCGCTGTCCCCTTCCGGTCGGACGATCATAAGGATCGCGACACTGCCACCGCGTAAGAAGACGACGCCGGGTAATGGTCGCGGGTCGGCGGCATTCTGCACCACTGTTTCCATCAAGATGAAGCCGATGCGAGGCCCGAACCACTCGACCGAATGGACATTGATCGAGCGTAATTGATAAGGGTCCTTCTTGTCGTAAAACGCATGCATGGCTTCGGATTTTTGCACCTTGATGGATTTCTGCAGTGTCGCAAGCCAGTCTTTGAAAGGACGAAATGCAAGCAGTTGGTCCTGGGTGATGTTCGCTGGGATCGTCACCTCGACGCTCGGCGAGACTTTGGGGAGGATGAATGTGACCATGGCAGCCAAAAGGTCTCTGATTCACTTGCCGTAGGGCCAAATGAGACGTTGGTCAATAGCTCACCGTCATCCACAAATATATTATATATACAACTTCAGCCTTTCGCAGTTCCTCGAAATCTGATCAGGCTCGACTACTAGCTTGTGCAGGCAGCGAAACGTCGGAGCAAAGGGTAGGGAGCCGAATATCTATCGGCAAGTGAGTGTGCACTGTTGATTGGCATTGCTTTTGCAGACATTTTCAGCAGGTGGACACGAGCAAAGATCAGGCGGCAAGGACCGGAAATAGGAGGCACGAGGCAGCCCCTCTCTCCTGGTAGTGTGTCGATAATGCCGCCAATGTGTTGGTGCCATGCTTGTGATTGGCGCTGCCGTTGTAACGGCTTCTAGGCATAGGGGGCCTTGATGTGGTGTCCCTCTTGCCCTTCACTGGGTAGTCGTCTTCTGGCGAACTGGCTTGTTAGAGGGTGGGCCGACAGCGGGCCTTTGGCGCGTGGATGGTGCCGTGGCCATGGGGGCCAGGTTCCCCAGGCTCCCCTTGGTTCCTCAAATCCAACAGTTCCAAACATCCCAAGCATCCGGCGACTCTCGGGCTGAAGAGCCTCACACACGTCTCTCTGGCGATCTTTGAATGCCCCTTGCTGCCTGGACGATGCCCACCCAAACCCATCCAGACCTCTCAAAATGGTCTGCAAGGTGTGCCATGATATGCTTTACGGACACAAAGGTCGACGGGATTCTGGGTCGCAATTGGCCCTGAGTTTCTGGCACCATGAAACCGCCGAAAACGTCAAGGCTGCGGCTGACGATGCAGAATGCTATCTCTGTCGCGTCATCGACGAGAAATTGGGAAGTTTAGGCCTCAACCCCCCGGCCGGTCCCGAGAGGAGTTGGCTCCTATGCGCATTGTTGCAACGATTTCCTCGCTATGACGGGGTTTATCGTCTGGACATCAAGCTCGAACAGTCCAAGACGACGATAGCGAGCTTCGTGTTAAGACAGAATGGTATGTTACCATCGCTACGCCCCTCTCTGGAGTATCGAGTAACGTTGTTGTCATGGATCAAGACGGCGGTCTGGCGAGTCATCTCCAAACCACTCCTAGAAGCGCATCTACGTCAGATCCAGAGGTCTTCGCCCTGGCCAAAGATTGGATCGAAACCTGTGCAAGGACCCATGCCAAATGCCAGACTGCTTCAAGTACGCAGTGGTATCCGACACGGCTGATAGATCTGCGATTCATGCCTGAAGATAATATGGAAATGGTACGACTAGTGTCGCAAAAAGATGCCGAGAAAAGGGACGACCATCCACCCTTTGAAGGTAGATATGTAACTTTGAGCCACCGATGGGGCCAGGTCGAGATCCCCAAACTCAGACAATACAACCGATCCGACTTTCAAACCTCGATGCTGTTGAAGAATCTCCCTCCAACCTTCCAACACGCAATGCAGTTTGCACGCGAGCTTGGTGTGCGGTGGATGTGGATCGACGCCCTATGCATCATCCAAGGAGACGAGCAGGACTGGCTTTTTGAGAGTTCGCACATGGACAAAGTGTATGCTTTCAGCTATTGCAACATCTCGGCCACCGCGGCCATGGACGGCTCAAAGGGCCTCTTCAATCAAAGAGACCCCCGTCGGAAATGGTTCGACAGCGTGAGTCTAAGAACGCAGGACCTCTCTGGGGATGCGAAGGTAGTTGAGTGCACTATCTCCGATCTGTCTTTCTGGGATGAATATGTCGACAATGCACCTGTCAACAGGCGGTCTTGGGTGTTCCAAGAACGGCTTCTCGCGCCAAGGGTGTTACATTGGTGTAAAGACCAAATTGCATTTGAATGTCACGAGCTGGACAGAGCAGAATGCCGGCCAGAAGGACTTCCACATCTTCAGATGAAGGCGGGCCAACTCATTAACCAAGCTCGCCTGAAGGCCATGGATAGGGAAGTTGGCAAGCGACTTCGCGAATTGAGGCTGGCATCTTTGCACGGTTCTTTCCGTTCCAAAGGATTAAAGTGGATGGTCGATGGCGACGAGAAACTGTACCTTTACGAAGTCTGGAAACGGATGGTCGAGGTCTACACCAAGATGGAACTGACAGACGAAAGAGACCGACTCATTGCGTTGTCCGGTATCGCAAGAATGATGACGAGGATCTTGAGGCTAGATGGCAGCGAGGACCAATATCTCGCCGGTATGTGGCAGAACTACATCGCAAGCCAGTTACTGTGGTATGTCAACGACGCAGAGGGGGAAGGCAAGGAGGCACAACCGCTGGAAAACACTCGGCCAGAGCAATATCGTGCTCCCAGTTTCTCGTGGGCTTCGGTTGAAACTCCGCGAGGTGTCACCTTCCCGGAGACAACGGACAAGGGCATTCTGGTGGAAGTCCAGGTAGTCAGACTGACCTATCGGACCGAGGACGACATGTTCGGCATTCTCACAGACGGCTATCTGGTGCTCAAAGGTGTGCTGAGGAGAATCGAGTTGACGGATACGGAGCAGGACCAGAGCTCATTGACCTCGATACGCCAGTCTATGGCAAGTTGTCCTCCAGCGGCTTTGAAAAGACATATCACTGACTGGCGCAGTGGCAATGGTATACTCGGACCACTAGCTCCCTTACTGTCGCCGTTATCAGCTTGTTGGTTTTGTTGACGATACTGGCCGGCAGGGGGCTGACCTGGCAACGACACAGCCCGATTTTGACATTTCTTGTCGCTGCTTGTCTTTCAGGGATCCTATACTTTGTTAAAGCTGGTATTTACGAACGTAAACACAAGAGCCCCGAACAGGAATACCAACCAAACCGATACAGCTGGCGTCTGATGCAAAAAGGTGTGCCTGTTGGCGACTCACATTCCATTGTATACTTGGACAGTCCCGCCAGTAAACCCACGGTATTTGGCCCAGATGCACAGGTCTTTTGTTTGCCGGTCTCACAAGATGATCTGCATTTGAACTGTCTCCTCGTGCAGGCTACTGACGGAGACCACGGCATCAGGTACAAGAGAGTTGGACTGACGAAGATATTAAATCTGTTCGATCAGGACGTTGAGACCATCAAAGAGCCTCCCACCAGAAAAACAGACAAAGCCCTGGGCAGATATTACTGGGGTCCGAACACTCGATTTCGAGGCGAAAGCCATATCTGCATTATCTGAGAGGGTACACTGCAACGCGAAGCGCAAATTTCCACCACGAGCTCTTCATCAACGTCAACAGAACCGGAAGCACAGGCCTGGGACCAAAAGGATGTATATTGTGACTCTCGGGTTCTCGTGTCTCAAAAATTGCTTGGCCAGGATGATCGCCAGGCTGCACAATGGCGACCGATCTCCCGCCAAACTCTTACCACTTTGAACCCGGCGGGAATATCGTGTCTTGATCAGCAGTCAGAGAGCATATACTGCAAAGCTGGCAGGGGCAAAGACATACTCATCACCTCCTGCTGCTCAGGACTCATGTTGAATCTCGGATCGTTTCCCATGACATCTTGCTTGTGTCTCTCGACGCCGCTTTCCAACTCGCGATACTCACTCCCCATGATGCTGATGGTACAGCCGTTATACGCTTCATTGGCAGCCAAGAAGGCCGCAGCTCTCGCCGTCTCCTCTACTGTGCTCACCGGGATACCGACTCTCTTCAGCTCTGGAACCAACCAATCCACTCTCCTCACTGCCGCTGTGTCTGTGACATGGGGAGCGATCGAGTTCACTCGGATATTCCAGGTTGGCGTATGGTTTCTCAGCCCACGCATCAGCCCGATCATGCCATGTTTGGCCGCGGCATAAACGGGAATGCTTTGGCAGTCGTAGCCACTTCGCGACACTGTCGACACAATGACTCCGCCCTGGGGATTTTGGGAGCGCATGAAATGCATCGCCAACTTCACCGTGTACATCTGGCCGATCAGGGTGACTTGGAGACACTGGAACTCGGGCTTTAGGGGATCTCCGTCGGCATCCTGGCGGAAGTAATAGTCGCCACGGTCGCCAAACCCAGCGTTGGGCACGACGATATCAATTCGGCCAAATACTTCCTGCGCCTTTTTGAACAGGGCGAGCAGCTCCTCCCAGCTCCCAGCGTCCGCCTTTTGGAAAATCGGGCCATCGATTGGGTCCGTTGGTGGCTGCAAGTCGCCAATCAAGACTTTGACACCACATTTGGTCAAGTAATGCACAATACCTACAATACCCGCCGGGTCAGTGCTATGGTTATCCCGAGGCAAACAAGATTGAATGCGAGAAGTGAGCTTCGGCGCCCTATCTGGCACCACCGTCCCCATCGTGTCTGAGACCAAATGGATCTCGCAAAGATAGCAACAGCAACAACATACCTTGCCCGATACCTAATGTCCGACGTCAGCGCCATTTATGTTTGATCTTGAATCTTGCCAACGATATTGAATACCAAACCAAAGACTAACCCGAAGAGCCGCCTGTCACAATCGCAGACTTGCCTCGCAGCTTTTCTCCTGTACCAGAGAACCAGTCAGTTTCCTCGACCTGGTTCCCCAATTGGTATCACTGAACATTCGATTCCATCTTACCAATGTCGCTGTCGGTGATCTTGAGCTCCGTCATGTCTGGAACCAGCTTTCTGGCCAAATATCAAGGGATCGGTGTATCGTTCAATGCCTTCTATTTAGACTTCGAAAAGGATCTTTGCCCAGACACGTCCAGCCTCTCAGATTCAACTCCTCTTACCGAGGCGAGCCCTCTTTTATCTGCAGCATTTCAAACCGACGAAAGGAATATCGCAGCCAAGGAAGACATTCCTTTGTTCGGCAACGCCGTGCAGGCGATTTGACTCCTCTTACGTTGGCGCGGGGATCCGGGGTTTTCCTCGGCGAGCTCGGCTATCCCGAACGGATGTCTTTGTATACACGGCCGCGGGTGGACGAAACTATTTATTCGGAGGCGGGGGAAAGGGGGCCTCAAAGTCTCTGTTCGAGGGGAATCAAAGGCTTACTGTCAGCTGATGTCAATTTTGGGTACATATTTCCCAGCCTGCCTTGTGTTGTTCGATTCTCCGGTCAACGTCGACCATTATCAACTTTGTGAACCATGGCAGCCGGCGATCCAGGCTCTATCCGGTCTCAACTGATTGGCGCGTGGGAGCTCATTGAATATTGCGCCTATCTGCCTCATGATGAATCGAACAAAGTCTATCCAATGGGGCAGGATGCAAAGGGCATCATTATGTACACACCCGACGGCTACATGTCGGCGCAACTTCAGACGCCGGGACAGAAGCCCTTTGGAGAAAGATCAGGATCAAAGCAGGGTTCGGATGCCGACTGGGCGACTGTGGGAAGAAACTATGTCGCATACACGGGCGCGTTCTATCTGGATGAACGCGGCGATGACACAGGCCGGCCGATTTTGATGCACAACATGAGATACTCGAACTTGCCGTACCTGGTGGGTGACATCCAGAGAAGGATCATGAACTTTGTCGATGAGAGTGATGGGAGGTACCTGGTGTTGAGTCTGGACGATCCTCTGAAGATTGCCGGAGAGGATCGCATGATCAGGGTGAGATGGAGAAGGCTCCCTTTGAATCAAGCATCAACGCCGCCATGAGACGGATGAGACACGGTGATTCTCTCTGTATCGTCCTGTTTGGACAGGTAAAAATACCGATCCAGTCTCGTCCTGCTTTGTCCAACTCTCTGTGTCTCTAAGAATAGCTAGCTGTCATCAGAATATCTAGAGGACAATTATTATGGTATCTCTCTTTTTATTTTGCAGCCGGAAGCCAAAACACTCTCGATGCCCAGAGCTATACCTATTGAATTCAATCCGTCCGGAGTAGATAGATTGATACGGACGAGAGGAGTAACAATGTAACATGTTGGGCGTCAGGATGGCGATGATGTCAGGCCCGCAAGGCTCTTGCGAAACATCATATGACGAGGCTCCGTGCTCGGCCGGGGCTTTGATTTCAACAGCATGAAAAAGGCCACAATCTACAACTTTGAGACAAAGGTTTGCCCCGGTATGTACTGCCTCGCTTCGCTCCCCGAATCAGACCGCAACGAAAGATGAGCTCGTTGAGCCGACATTTTCACAACGACAAAGCACCCTCTCGCCGCGCCGATGCCCATGAGGAACTCCTCGCCTCCCTCACGCGCATCAATACCTACAACCCCCCAGTCCAAACGTGCTCAACCGGGTGGACATTTCACGGCCTCTATTATGGCCCTACCTCCGTAGCCTACTTGTTCTTCCGCCTGTCTCAATTATACCCTGATCTCACCTTCAAAGGCCAGTCACTGCTGGACTGGGCACAGGCATATCTGGACCTGGGCCAATCCGGGCGTCGTGAGGATGTGGACTCGCGCCATTGCGGAATCGGAAACGAGGTTCTTGCACAGCTCGCCATCCGTGCGGCGATGGAACAGGATCCCAGTCTTGTCCAAAGACTCTGTTCCTACGAAGGCGTTATCAATGATACCGGAGGATCAGACGAGTGGCTATACGGACGATCCGGATATCTGTACTTCTTGCGTCTTGCTCAATCCGGCTTCGAGGAAGGCTCAAAAGCCAGTGAAATGATCGACGCCACCATCCGAAAAACCGTCCAGCGGATCCTGGCCTCGAAACAACCCTGGACATGGCATGGGAAGGCATATCTGGGAGCCGCACACGGCACTTTCGGCATCCTTTGCCAACTGGTCCTCTCATCGCCTCGGTGCGCTCAGACCTTGGAACACCTTCTCTCCTCACTTCTCGATACACAGTTTTCCAGCGGGAACTTCCCGTCCTCGCTGCCGCCGGGGTCCGATAAACTGGTGCAATTCTGCCACGGAGGGCCCGGCGCCGTCCTGGCCTTGCGAACTCTCCGGCCGCATTTCCCGAGTCTTCAGGGCAAAATCGCCTCGGCCATCAACGCTGCGCAAGGGGACACTTGGGCACGGGGCCTACTGACAAAACAGCCTTGCCTTTGTCACGGTATCGCTGGCAACGCGCTGGCCTTGGACGACGATGCGGAGTTTCATCATTTCCTGGCGTGCATGTCCACCGAGGCCCTCGAGAGTGTCGGGTGGTTGAAGAAGGCTGGACAGGACGACCAGTTCGTTGCTCTGTACACGGGCGAAGCGGGGAGAGCATGGGTTTGGGCCGTTGCGGACAAAGGATTAGATGAGAAGACTTGTATTGGCTTCAACGATCTATGACTGGTGACCTTGTTACGACTCAACGATGACCCTACCCAATCATCAGGACTTATTTCGCCACCTCCTCAGCATTATCCCCAAATGGCAAATCCACAACCTTCCCGTCCTTGATATACACCTCCTCCCAGCCGACAGTCCATTCGACCGAGCCCCAGTCAAACAACTTATCCTCATCCGGCGCGATGACCTCGGTGTAATACGGGTCCTCGCGCGCCCTCTGGAAACACGAAATTTCGGGCATGAGAAACTCGCCGACACCGTCGAAGTCGAGTTTCTTTGCATTTTGCAGCACCGGGAAGCCAGCCACGGCCGAGGAAACGAGTTTTGAAGGGGTGTGATACTGTTTCATAAAGTGCGGGTGATAAGTTGACTAGTTCGAAGCAGCTATGACAACACTACAAGTGCAACAAGGGGGAGAAGCCTGAAGCAATTGATGTACAGAGTCCTCTGACAACCAAGCAAGCAGGACCATTCTCTAGGAGGAAGACGAGGAGATGGACAAGCCAATGAAACCGAAAAGGGTGAGTGAGTGAACTGCACTGACCTGGGTGTACCTGACAATGCCATACTTGGCCAGCCACTCAGTCGCCAGGGCCTTGTGCGTGCCTGACCAATACTCTTGAAACTCGTCTTCGGAGAGAGAATCCTTGCGCCGGGCAAAGAGTGAAAGTTTGACCATGCGTTGTTTTGTGGCCATTATTGGTTCTGTCGTGGCCCGTTTACTTTACGCGAAATTCAATCGCCACCGTCACCGAGGAGGAGGAATAGGCTTGGAGAAGAAGGGTGCCAGAGGAGAACAGACCGCTCGAAAAGGCGGCCAGTCCGCTGAGCGACGGTACGTAGAATGAATAGGTAGGGAGGGCAACGAGTGTCAAGGCAAAGCGTATTTATTATAGAAAACTGGCGGTGATGATAAGAATGTACGTACAGGAGTGCTGGCTGGCTGCCCAACATCCTTTGGTGCAGCCTTGTCGTTCATCCCCGCATTGTTGCGTGTGATCAAACACCCTGTAAGGCTGCGCTAGCGATGTCTTGGAGAAGGATTGTCCGAGCGAGTGATGGATGTCCCTCTCCCCTTCCCCCTCTCCCCCAAATTTCTCCAAAGTACGAGGTAAGTGATTGAACTTTCCGTCGCAGCCAGGATCGTCTGTGCTGTGTTTGCGTGAGGGGCGGTCTGTGCTTTTGCTCGCCCTTGAATCACTCGCTTATCTTGCGCGTGTGGGTATATGACTTGAAGAGACGGAAACGAACCCGTCCACGAAGACCAAGCCGAAGACGAAGAGACGCGGTCCAAGAAAAAGCAACAATGCCTTCCACCACCTCAAACACGTCGCCTGCAACGTCCGCAGCAGCAGCAAATCCCCATCCCGACATCCCGCCCTTCCCGTCGCCCTCGACCTTCTCGATCCTCCCTGACATCTGGCTCCTGATCGCGCGACTGAATATCCTGCACCAACAGCAGCAGCAGTCACAAGCTCAGACAAACGGGCATAACGGAGTCCACCCCTACCCTCAACAATCACAGCAACAGCCATCGTCACAGCAAGGAGGACAACAGCCTACGTCGCAGCCGAGCCAAGTCCTACACCAACAACCACACCAACCGCCCTCAGCCGGCCCAGGCCCAAGCACAGTCGTATCCGCAGGTCCGACCACAGCACCCATCCTCAACGGCGCCGCACTGCTCGACCCCAAAGACCTGCCCGCGCAAATCTACCCTTTAAAGCAGCGCCTCGCCACAGCGCGAGAGGCCGTGAGCGCCCTGCCGGACGTGGACAGGACGGTGGCCGAGCAGGACGACGAGATCCGCATGTTGCAGGGCGTGGTGAGGGGGTTGAAGGGCCGGTTGGTCCACTTGGCGCGGATTGCTGCAGCACAGGGGAACGGGGGCCTGAGTCAGGAAAGGGAGAGGGAGGGGGATGTGGATGTGGAGATGGAGGATGATAAGAAAGAAGAAGAAGAAGAAGAAGCGGAGGAACAGGAAGAGGAAGACGGGTGAGGGGGTTATTCATTCGAGTTCGCGGGAGCCTAACTACGATTACAACCACAAACACAGACGTCCACATCTGCCTGCCCACCTACGAAAAGTCTTACGCGCTGGAAAAGGCAGCGACGCGGAGGAAGATGGATGGACAGATGGAGAGAAGGCGGTAAATGTGCGAGCCCTGCCAAGGTAAAGGATCACGTCTACGCAGTCACGAAAAAGAGGTGCACAGAGCGTGGAAAGAAAAGTCCTGCCCGGAAACGGGCGCCGAACAACGAAAGCCGAATGAAAGAACGACGGATCGGTTTCTGCCGTTCGCGCCGAAAGGGACGTCTGCATTGGGGTATTGATCAGTGGAAGCCGACGATCCATGCGTTGCGGCCGATCGATTGATTTTCACGACCGTGACAGCCACCAAAGGGGTTGTTGAGGGACTTAGGTATCGTTGAAGATACATGCGCCAGCCTTTTTTCTCTCTCTTCTCTCACCCGCCATAAAACCCCAAAGTCGTTGAAATCTGAGAGTCCATGACCACATTACATTCATCCCACCAGAAACGCCAAATGACCATCGATCATGACAATTCAATTTCTTTTGGGGGGGAATGCTCTCCTTACACCGGCAAGGGGAAACTTGAAGCCCATTCGGCAATCTCAGCCCTCAACTTCAAGATCTCGTCCACGGTCTCGCTGCTCACTTTCTCCTTGAAGTCCTTCAACTTGTTCGCCTCCTTGGGCAGCTCCGACTGGATCTTCTTGCAGAGCTTGATACTGGTATCAATGTACCTCGCCACCCTCTTGAAGTCTTCTTCCCCAAAGCCACGCGATGTCATGGCGGGCGTGCCAATGCGGATACCACAAGGAGTAAGAGCCGACTTGTCTCCAGGGATACTGTTCTTGTTGCACGCGATGTTGATCTGCTCCAGCACGGCTTCGACCCTCGCGCCATCGAGGGACTGCGGTCGAAGATCCAAAAGGACCATGTGTGAATCCGTCCCGTCTGCGACAAGCTTGTACCCCAGATGCTTGAACTCAGTTTCCAGCGCTTTGGCGTTCTTGAGCACCTGTTCCTGGTACGCGCGGAACTCGGGAGTCGCCGCTTGCTTCAGGGCGACTGCCAATGCGGTGATTGTGTGGTTGTGCGGTCCGCCCTGATGACCAGGGAAGACGGAGAAGTTTATGGGCCCCTCGAGATCATAGAGGGTTTGTTTCCCGGTCTTGGGATCCGTGCTGCGGACGCCCTTGCGGTAGAAGATCATTGCTCCCCTAGGGCCGCGGAGGGATTTGTGGGTGGTGGTGGTGACCACGTCGGCGTATTCGAAAGGACTCGGGATCACGCCTGCGGCGATCAATCCGGAGATGTGTGCCATGTCCACGATCAGATACGCGCCAACTTTGTCTGCGATTTGTTTCATGCGGGCGTAGTCGATCAGGCGGCAGTATGCGGAGGTTCCTGCAACGATGCACTTGGGCCGGTACATCAGAGCGTTCTCTTCGAGACGGTCATAGTCGATGATGCCGGTCTCGAGGTTGACTCGGTAGGGGAAGGTCTCGAAGTAGGTTGAGACGGCGGATATCCTAAGTCCTTGTTAAACACCGTGCTTCCTCAATTGCCGCATATTGTTGGCTTTGTGTGGGTTTTTTTCGTTCTTGCTTACTTTCTCTGCGCCGTCTGATATCCATGACTCAAATGCCCGCCGTGCGGCAAGTCCAACCCCATCAAACGATCGTGCGGTCTCATCAACGCCTGATACACCTGCAGGTTCGCCGGGCTGCCGCTCAAGCACTGCACGTTGACACCCCACTTCTCGGGGTCAAGGTGGAACGCCTTCAAGGCCCGGCTTTGGCAAGTGAGTTCGATGGCGTCGATGAACTGGTTGCCGCCGTAGTAGCGAGCGCCCGGGTATCCCTCGCTGTACTTGTTGGACATGGGGGAACCGAGGGCGTCGAAGACGGCGCGAGAGGTGACGTTCTCCGAGGCGATCAGGATGATGGACTCGCGCTGGCGTTTGATTTCTTTTTTCTACGCGGATAACAGCGTGTGAGTGCCGAGTGATGTCGAGGGCAGACGAAACGTACCATGATCTCTGCGATCTCCGGGTCCGATTCGACCAGGGGCTTCTCGAGCATCTGCGTAGTCGAGCGGGGGCCAGTCAGTAAAAGCGCAATCATGCTCTAGTAGGGTGGCAGTAGTGGTGTGAGACAGCTCTCTTTTTTGGGTTCTGTAGAACTTACTTCTCGATGAGTCTGCGAGAGGGCATAGCTGCCCGGAGCTGCGGAACCCATGGCTGTCTGTTAGGTTTGTAGAGAGAGGTCAACGCCTGTGTGGAAATGGAGAGCTTTCAGAGGGTGTGTCTGAGAGGAGGAGGGGTCCAAGAGTATAGAGAAAGAGAACAGGAGAAGTAGGGAAGGGCCGAATGACAGATATGGACCGGGAGACTTTTTTTTCTGCGTGCGAAAGGTCCCCGCGAGAAGTGTACTTGGTATTCCGCATTTTGGCAAAACACTGCAGGGGTCAAGGGTGGCGGGCAAGAGGGGTCTTGGTGAATGCTACGGTGGAGCATAGGGATCACAATGCCGCTTTGGTTCAAGCTATACCGAAGTACATACAAAGCGCAATCGATGCACGCATCCATCGCCTCCAGCACAAGGGAAATCTATCAGCCGGCTCATCTTGCTCATCCTTCTACAGCACCTACTCATCTGCCAGCCTCCGCTTCTTTTTCTTCTTCTTCTCGCTCGAGGCTGGCGTGTCTGCACTCCGCAGCTTCTTCTCCGGACTCTTTTCGTTGCCTGCTTCTCCATTGGTCTGTTTCTGTCGCGCTTTTCTAGACTGTGCCGGGGGAGACGACGCCTCGTCGTCGAAGTCGGGTGGAACTTGCAATGTATCACGCATCTCCACATCATCTGGTCTATCCTCTTGTGTGGGAGAGACTCCATAAGGCATATACCGCATCTTGAGTCCTTCGGGTTGTTTTCGGATCTGTTTGGGCGCGCCAGTCTGCGTCGCCGTGAAGACCGCCGGCGTATCTCCCACTGACTGGGATTTGGAAACCTCTCGCATGGAGAAGCTCCTTTCAATCTTCCTGGCGCATTGTTTGTACTTTGCGTCAGAGCCGCGAGGCAGGAGAATGACATTGTCCTTGGACGGTAGAGCGTGCATGCCGTAGTCGACGCCATTCCGGCTCAGGATCGGTCGTCCTCTCAGCACCGCCTCAATGTCGAGCTCTTTGATGGAGTCGATGGAGACTGACTCGGGTACAGAAATGTGCCAAATTTGCTTGTTGGACAAATCGCCAAACAGATCCATGTCGGATGCAAAGTCCGATGCCGACCACGTGAGCGGTTCGTAGCCTTTCGGCGGTTTGAAGGGCTTTGGAGGGATGCTGACTTTGTCCCTGGTAGCAGTCCTAGCTTTCTTGTTGGATGGAATCTCTGGAGTTTCTGGGGACCGTCTCTTTCGGCTAGACGAAGAACTTGACGCTGAGTCCTCGTCTGAGTCATCTTCCCCATTCTCTTCGCTTGACTTCTCGACTCCTGGTTCTTCTTCATCCGTTTCCTCTTCCTCGTCGGTATCGATCCCTGATGTTGTTGTGGCGGATGACCCTTCTGACGGTGGCATATTTCTCCTCTTCCTGTTCAAGGAAGCCTTCGTACCATTTAGAGCCTCCAATGGGGATGATTTCGACTTTGATATTGCGGTTTCCTGCTCAGATGGGACTTCATTTTCGTCTTCGTCACTTGAATCGTAGACTCGTTCTTCACTCAGTACGGTATTCCGTGCTGCGTCGACGGTCCTGCCCATGGCTCTTGAGTGTACAGATGAAGAGCCGTATATCCAGAGTGTAGCTAGAGAAAATGAGATAAAAAAAGTTGGCGAAAATTGAAAAGGTGGATTCCAGGCACAAGTCTTTGACAAGTCAAACGAGTGAACTCTCGGAAACAACCGGCGCTAAGACATTAGTAAAAAAGCTTGATAGAGGGTTTTCGTTCGGTCACCAAGTGACTTTTTGCGCTGTGACTGTTGTCTCTTCATCTGCACATTTATGATAGCTAGTACGTTAAGAGCACCTCTCTGCAAAACCCTGGAATCTGCTGACTAGGAATCAGATGGTGGACGTCTCAGCGCAGTCGCAAGACGGCGGCTCTTGCGGGAGGTGCAGTCTACAGCGTCAAGTCCGAGTCCTGCGACAGTAGCACCAATCCCAGAAGCCAATCTGAGCGAAACTACATGTACATCCAAAGACCAGGAAGTAGAGAGTGACGGCTCGTCTGCAGATGAGGGACTACAAAGTCCCAACCAGTTTGCAACACTGGTCGATGCTTCTGCCGTCCATTTTAGCTCGAGTAGAGAAATCGAGCAACTGACTGACAGGTCAGTCAAGATCAAACTGTCTCGAGGCCAGGTATGATGAGACCGAGCACCATGAAGTTGTACTGACTTCTTTAGAAATGTGTTGTGTTGGGAACATACACCCTCTGGGTCAAACAAGGATCCATATCCGTCTACGGCGCCATTCTCAACGCCACGACGGCTGTTTATCGTGTCTACGCTCCCGTTACACATGCACTTCCCTCGATTGAAGCTGTGAGCTCGAGTGCCGAACTTCAGCTTGAATCTCTTGATGATGGGATTAGAGATCTGCCGTACGTCGGACAGAGAGGAATGTGGGTTCCATTTGGTGTCAAGCCGTCCACGTCGTCTTTCTATGTCCTGGGCCATTCGTTCGACCAGGATCCGAAGGCCCCCAGACAGCTGAAGGAATTGGACATCACCTGCTGGAAATCCCTGCTGACAGAATTCTCCCGCGCTGACATAAGTCAGCCACGAAGAATTCTCATATGCGGCAGACGTTCATCAGGACTTTCGACTTTGGTTCGGTGTATCTTCAATCGATTTCTTGCCAGACAGTTCGCTGGGCCAGATTCTGCTCGCCAAAGGGGGGTCATACTGTTGGATCTAGACACAAACATGCCAGAATTTGCTCCTCCGGGAATGATCAGCCTGGTGCATATTGTAAACCCCGTTTTTGGACCACCGTTCGCCAACATTCTACCACCCTACCGAGAAAGATCCAGCCGGATATTGGCAAAACATTTTCTTGGCGACTTAGAAACACGAGATTTGGTCAGTTGGCACATTGATCGAATCTCTGGATTATTGGACCTTGAGCAGAATCGTCGTGTCGAATTCGAGGGCGCCCCAGTCCTTGTTACATGTCCAAAGTGGCTGAATGGCATCGATAATACCAGGGCTGGCGAGCTCTGGATGAAAATGTCTCCATCAGATATTGTTTGTCTCGACTCTGGCCCAATGTCAACGCATCTAGGGCCCTGGAAATCATTAGCAGAGATGGGGAACTGTCGCATACACCAGATCCCGGCTCTGGTGTTTGACAAGATATCTCCAGTACGGGAGCATGACCTCCAAATGCAATCATACTTCCACCTGAGACACACACCTATCAACCACCCGTTCTGGGACGACACTCCTGTCTTAGCGACAGCACAAGGGTCTGTGGCACTGACATACGCTGATGATGGGGCAAAGATATCGGCGATCGTTCTGCTAGGTGGTCATGTTGCGCCCGAGGATACCTACGATGCGCTCGAGGGAAATATTGTTGCTGTGGTGGCTCTCAACCCGCAGTCCGCCACAGATGCGGCATGTGACCTCGGTGCGACCGGTGCCAACAGCCACGACGGCGATCGAAGCGGGATATATCGAACGGAGGAAGACCTGCCTCTTTGGCAAGAGCAAGGCGAACTCGAAAGATCCTTTCCGTTTCCGGCAGAGCATTCCCGTTGCTTGGGACTCGCCATGGTGCAGAAGATCGACATTCCCAACAGGAAGATCATTCTTAGCAATGCAGCCAACTTGCAGGTGCATGAAATCCAGGAACAAGATTCCCATGTGGCGCTTGTGGTGCCAAAAGCAACGACAGACGGGAGATTTAAAACAGACTGGGCGCAAAGGGAAATGCACATCAAGAAGAGCGACAGCCAAACAAAATAAGCCGAAGCTTCGTACCGTAAACCGAAGATCCCGTCGAGCCGGAGCAGACAAATACCGACAGCAAAGCGACTGGGCAGCAGGAGCAGAGCGCATACTAGTTGGCATCGTTGGTACCTCTTCCGCATGGATAGCGTCACAGTGGTAGTACTTGGTACATTAGACGGCACCAGAAATGCATGTGGGGAGGCCAGACGAGTCCTTGTATGGGCAAATAGGTGAGAGGATTATTATTACTCGCGGCCGCATCGCCCCCAGTTGCCTCGATCGCCAACGCTGGCTGTCATCGAGCCGGACCTGATTGGATGCGGCCGAATCCCTAGAATCCATCGCAAGTGGCGGTCTGAAGCCCTCCTACGAGGGTAGAGCACTCCAAAAAGGCCAGACCATCATGACTGCCTCACTTATTCACTCATGACAAAGTCGACGAGACCACAGTAACTCCAGCTGTTCAAACAATATCTTCTCTCTTGCTCGCTGTGAAAGAGACGGCTGCGCTGTTCTTCTTCCTCTCGGCCCCAGACCATCTCCTTCGACCTCTCGACTTCGTTGCAAATAATCACACCAATCTCCACATGTTCCAGACCCGCGGTTCCAGTTGACGGTTAGGTTGCTAGGTTTTCTCCCTCTGATCGAGCACACGAGCTCTTGCCCTCCTTTAGATCACCATTCAGCCCTCGAGGACCTTGTCGCGACTCCAACTTCGCCTGCGCCGTGGGCTGGAGTGATCCGACTTTTCAGACAATCGATTGTTACCCTCTAATACAGGCACTCATGGCTGGCCCCGCCTCAGCCCGCTGCGTCCGCCTGCGAAACCGAAACATGCACAACTTCCGCCTGCACAGACTGTAGCAGAGTTTGTGGCTACGCTGAGAGCAAAAGAGACAAAGAAAGAGAAGGTGAGAGGTAGACCATGGACTTTACAGTAAGTATTGTCGCGGATATACTCTCAGCCTGCTTCGTCAACTCTTCAGGGCCGGCGTATGACTTGGCCGTTTCTACCGGCTGTTGCCAAAACACCGCTGCGCGCTGGCTCCAGATCGACTAACGCTCCCTTTCCAGCTCGCCCTCACCCATTTCTGCGAGGCGCATGGGCCGAAGTCCGTCCTCTGCACGCAAGTCCTGCCGCTGGAGTGTGCATTATGCCTTCCACCCTCACCTCCCCTGAGAGCCTCCTCCTCCACCGAATCCTTTACCACCCAGGTCCACAATTCCTCCCTCGAGTCTTCGCAGAATCTCCGTGCGCCGCCGACTCTGAGTAAAACAGACACGAATTCCACCTGGCCTACCGACCTTTCCGGCGCGTCTACCGCGATCGACTCGGAAGCAGAGCCTGAAAGCCCTACCATCGAGAAGCACCCCCTCTTCCAGACAGTTGACCAGACACGGACGCTGTCCTCACAATGGCGTTATGGTCGGAACCAAGACGAGACCTGTGCCAGCTGCAGTTTCTCCGTACCCAAGGCTGTCGCAGAAAAGCTTCCTGCCGGTGCACCGGGTAGCAAGAGAGCGGACAACCCAAATAACGTCAACACAGGGGCGCCAGTGCTGAGATCAAGAGAATTTGTCTGTCTTCGAGAGAGGAAGAGAAGGAATAGCAGGCTTCACGTCTCTGAAGACTCCAATCCGTCCTCCTACGGCTCATCGGTTACATCATCCTACGACTCCCACGCGACGACGTCGCATACACAGTCTCATCGATCTGACGAGTGTCACGACCACACCTTAACATACCTCACCTCCAAGTCTCCCGCCGACCGGGAGAGCTATGCGCAACTACGTGCTTCTGTCATTCGGACTCTGTCCTGTGAACTCCTGCCGCGAGGGATGTCCGACGGTCCTTTCTGCTTTGGTGACTCTAACACAGGCTATACCATCGCATACGTCTTTCGGCTTACTGATCCCAAAGCCCGGGGTCGACGGCGGGCGTACGCTTTCCTCGCTTTAGCGGGCAAGGATGCCAGTCGCGCGTTTCAGGCATGTCCCATGCTATGGGAGTCATTTGCCCGGATGGCAAAGGGGATTGAAGCAGCGGCCCAGCAACAACGGTGCAAAGAAGAAAAGGAGGCCGAATCTCTTGATGCGAGCGGCAAATCGACCGCGAGGAATTACACTCCGGTGTCGTCCTTCTTGACCGCCCGCACTGTGGACCCAGATGGCCACCCGCGGCGTGTTGGACAAGCCACGCCGCGTAGCCTAGCGGAGATCGTAGGCGACGAAAACATTTTCACATTCCTGCACCAGTATTTTGTCGCCATCCTGCGCTGCCTCGGCGAGCGCTTTGGTGGGCCGCCACTAGCAGAAAGTCCGTTGATCTATCACTCTACGAGTGAGGAGGTACCGCGGTTTCGCAAAGCAGATGTCATCCGAGAAGACAGAGAGCATGGCGCCAATCGTCCTCTGGATCTCGCCGACTCGAACCACTCTGACAAAACTCATCTTGAGAGCCTAAGAGACCAAGATACGACGCCCACACCGCAGTTGTATCAGAAGAGTTCCAGTAAGACTTGGCCATTGCAACAGCCACAACCCCAAGAGACAAGAGTGTCCAAGGGGAAAGATAAGGCAAAGGAGGATGCAATGGACGATGTTGATCATGCAAAATCAACGGCAAGGAAGGGTACAAGAGAAACGGACAAGCCCAAGATGTTCGCCAATACTAATATGACCTTGAAGAAGCTGAATCCGCAATGTGCCATGCCCATGGCCGTCACTGAGACGGCACAGAGACAGGTTGTCGTATGACATGTTTGAGGGCGACTGACAACCACGCGGGAGAAGGCCGGCGCAACGGAAGCGAGCAGTAGATTAATCCGCGCCAGCGATGGAGGTTTGATGAATACGTGATGGCCTCACCCGTGATACTCATCACGGCGGCCGAGCCGGAGAAAGGCTCCAGGGATGTGTTGTCTGGCGTTGTTGCGCCGAGACAACGGCGAAAGGGATGGCAGGGAGCTGTTGCCCCCTTGCATGGTATTGAGGAAACGGCATTTACATGGGGCGGCATTTTGAGTGAGTTCTGCACGCAGCACGACGACGACGATATGTATGCTTTTTTCTTCTTTCTTGACCTGCACTGAGCAATGTTGTCTTGTCTTCTTTCAAGCAAGATGATACCACGATACATCGAGTTGAATGATCCCTCTTGTGTGTGTGCTATTTTTGCGGGGGCGGACATCGTGTACGTTACGGAGAGCTGTATGTGTACCTTCGGAAGTTACATCCCCCCATATACCTAGGTATGTCCCTATGTATCTACCTAGCGAGCTGTTCATGTACCTAGCGAGCTAGTGAGAGGGTAGCTAAAGGCAGCTATGATTCAACCAACCCGCGACTATTTTTGTATTTTAAAAAAAAAGGGTAGTTGCTGCATGTGACTAGAGGCTCGAGCTCGTTTCTACCTGGACCGACTATCGATGAATCCTTTTCTTGCTCCCCGTTATTATAAAACCATGTCCGCCGCCCAGGTTGGACGCGGTAGTCGATTGACCGTCGGCGTATCTTTGCTTGTCGAAAGCATCGGCTTGATCGTGCAATGCACTCGGCGGCCGTGCCTGCTAGAGGGGCGTTGGGTAGGCCGTCAATGAATCTCGGTCTCTCTGGAGAAGCTATTGCGATGTCTTGCACTGTTCTGGCACTGCCCGCACGTCGGCCCATTTTGATCACACGGTTTCCTCTCGTCAGAATACAGAGCTCAAGCGGTGTTAGGGAGAACATGGCTTGATTTTGCCACCATCTCGGATCATTGTGTCGGCTATCATCATGGTTGTTGTCGACTGTCTTGTTGTATGTTCAACGCTTCAGCCCCGTGGTCAAGGCAACCCAGGCGCCATTGACGGGGCTGGACTTTTGGATTATGTTATGTATGGTTGCGGGTTCGTCCGCGGGCCTTTGATTCACAACGAGCTGCTTGAGCTGAAGTCATTGATGCGCAAGATGTCTAACAGTAGGCCCTGCGCCTTTCATCCTTGCCTTCAGAAGGAGATTAGTTGGATCGATGCTGCTACAGGCCACTTGTAAACTGTGACCCAGTAAGGAACGATCTTCGTACTCCCTACTATACAACCTGTTCATTGCCAGGCTCTTGCGGTGCTTGCTCGACCCCTTCAGATCTCGCCACAACGGTTACTCTCCAAACCCCCACTTATTACGGCCAATATGTCAATAGCAAACTCCAGCGCTTAGCCTCGTTGTGATCAACTGGGTTGGTCACATGCAGGAAAAGCCTGGAGTCTCGTTACGAACCTCTGTCGAACCAATATGTTTGGTTGCGGACAAGACAGCTCCGCGGGAAATGCGGACGATTTGCTGAGGGCTGGTTTATCTGACCTTCCCGCACAAGCATTTCACCCTTGAGGTCTGCCTCCTAGGACGCAGATCGAAATAACCCTCTCGAGGACGTTGACCCCGGATGAGTGGCGTCGGGAGCGACGTTGTCGAAATCAAAGATTCAAGACCGGGTCGCTTGCCAGTCATCATGGTCCATTGCTGCAGCCTCCGACGCCCCAGAGATGTTCATTCCTCTCCATCAGAAAAAAGAATACGGTGCTCTAGGGGCTGATGCAAGCTATGTTCCTCCAATTCGCCAGTCAATGCCGTGGTGGCATGCTGCACTTTGCTTCCTGGCTTTGATTGGCGTCGCGGCCTCCAACACACATATGCCATGTGATACTCTGTTATCGAAAGATGATATATTGAACCTGCCACAAGGGAGGTGAGCGTGGGGGGATACGAAATACACTGCATTCACGAAGCGAGGAATTCCTTGCTTGGTCCTGTTTCGATTCTGAGGCCACCATTCATGTTCTTCGCTCATGGATGGAGTATTCACTTGACGGTCACCTCCGCCGTCCGACTTCAGTTCACAGCAACGCTTGCGTCTTGGCCGATTCTTGGATGGCGAATTCATTCCAACGCAGTTCTCCTGGTTGCTGAGAGCTTCCTTCGGATGTCCTGGATAGGTTCGCCTACTGTTTCCCTGTGAGCCAACGAGCATTCCTCCAAGTCCTGGAGACACATCCCCTTCATGAAGTTCTGCTGATATGAGGATCCTTTCCCAGGGCTGTGAGAGCAAGTACCATGAAGGGCAAATTCTGAACCGAAGTCAGCGGTGCTCCCGCCTAGGTTCGTCGTATGTCGTACGAAACACCCTGCTCATCCCGGCATGTGTAGTCTCAGTCTCTTGTTGCAGGGTTAGACATCAACTCCGGCCAAAGCATATAAGAGAAAAGTGAAGATGCTGCTCAACGGGTGCCGCCGAGAATTCAAAGGGTACACCGCATTGACCTATCTTCGCCATGGAGGCCAGCACCTGATTCACTAGCCGAAGCAGTCACCAGACATGGGATCTCAAGTGGTGGGCAGCTGCCTTGCTCCTCTACTTGTACACAACTAAGCGCCAAAGTCATAACCTGAAGTCAGTCTCTGCCACTGATTGTGCCATCCGCCAACGGAACTTGCCAACGAAGGAAACCGTGCATATCCCAAGCAAGCGAGCGCATGGCCTAGGGTGGGGTTGTGGAAGCAGGGCGGGTCAGAGCGATATTAATGTGCGATATCTCGCACTTCCTGGTCAATCCCTCCTCTCTCCCTCCCTGTCTTCGTGTCTCCCGTCTTCGGATAACCCTCGCATTCACTCGTGCGACCTTCAGACCTCTCGCCCGTCGACTCAGACGTCTTAGATTTTCCTACCGAACAGACTACTTACTCCACCTTTTTCCTCTTCCAGCACATACCAAACAGCAAAAAGCGAAAGATGGAACCCTGCACAACCTGCAGCTGCTGTTCTGGCGGAGCCTGCTCGGGATCTTGCTCCTGCAAAGGCTGTGGCGTACGTTACAACCTTTCCCCTGACTCGTGCCCTTTGCTCGTCTTCGGTCTCGTTGCTGCGTTCTTCCCCATGGATCGTCACGCACCTCTTCTTCGCCTCGATTTGGCTGAGCCGTCAAAGTGCCTCCTTTCTTTGTCCCACCATCACGACACGAGAGATCCGTCTGCTTTAGTCGTTGGCTGACTTCACATGACAGCATTAAAACAAGAATGCCCCCGTCCATGATATCCATTCCCCCTGCCGGCTGCGGTCCACTCGTCCCTACCGGCAAGATCTCCATCTCCTCTCGGAATTGCTGATCAAGGGGGAATGTACATGGCGTGCGTTTGTTTGCGTGTTGCCTGTTACCTGATGGGATGAATCTGGGTTGTTTTGTCAGCGAGCTGGCTAGATGTAGAGGGCGGAAGGGTGAGTCACGTCAACACCACCGAGGAGCCTCGGCGGGTCTGAGCAGAAGCAGGCAGTAGGTCGACTGGAAGAGATCGGAACGGGATCCTGGTTCGGAAGTGCTGGAGTTGGAGGTCTGGCAGACCAGAATGGAAAAAGAGAATGCCAGGGCGAGCAAGGAGCCTTGCTTTGTCCGTATCCACTCCTTTAGAAACTTACAAGTATATCAATCTTACCACCGGCAATCTGCACTGGGACGCGACTAGACGTTTCCCGTCTTCTCCGTCTGACGATTTCGTCGAGGAAGATGCCTACCATGGATACAGTATATCCGAGTATATCCTCAGCGACCAACCTTGACGTCGAGTTGCTTGTCCAGACCTTGGGCATGAAAAGTACCTGACTGATGCATCAGATAGATAGGATCTGGTGATATACATATATATCGTACATTAGACATCGTGTTGTAGATAGACGCTCTGTAGAGACCGAAACGCCCACGCTCGTAAAGTTCATTGTCATACCCCATCAACAAAAGTTGTAAATCAAGGTGCCGCGTCAGCGATTCCACGAGAATGTTCCCACGCGGCTGTCTATTCTCCTGTTCCTTATGGATACAGATACCCCTTCTCAAAATAATTTCCATACATGTCCACCACGCCTGTTCTGCCCTTGGGTGTCGCATTTCTGACCACTTTGATCTCTCCCTTCCAATGTCCTTCAATGAACTTCATGTCGAGGTCATTAACCTCACCATGAGTTGAGCCACCGGAGGGTGTTTGGTTCCCTAGTTTGGCTGATGCATTTCCATTCGTATGGGCATGTGCATATGCGAGGGAACCTGGTCCAGCACCATGGTCGAAACCATATCCATACCCTCTCGGTGCAGACGATGAGAGTCCATTGCTTTGGTTGGTTAGACCACTTGATCTTCCCGTGCCGCCGCCTCCCCGGCTCAATCGGTACCGCGCCAATTCATCTTCGTAGGCCTTCTTTCGCTCTCTTCGCCACGCAGCAACTTCCGCGACAACATCAACTTTCGGTTCTTGCTCCAGCTGCTGGACAGGATTGGAAGTCGGGGAAAGCATCGAATCTCTTGATTGCGGGCGCAACCTGCTGTTCACGAGCATGGGCGACACCGGTGCGCCTTGCATCTCAGCCAGGAAATTCCGCACGGTTCCATTTCGCTGAGACTCATTCGAGCTTCTCCGATTCCGGCCCAACGGTAAGTTCCTCGGGCTACTCAGAGTCCCATGGGAGCCGCCATAATTCATCGAGAATGGCGACAATGTACCGTGCCCGTGGAAGCTACCATGTGGACTGCTGGAGCCACTTTCTGGTGTCTTCTCTTCGGGGCCCAGCAAGATCTTATCATCAAAGTGCGCCGTGGGGAAATACTTCTCTGGATCATGTTGGTAGATACCACATTCTGCCTGTTCTTCGCCTTCCTCTCCAAAGAAACTGAAGTCATTCTCCGCGGCAGACCAAAGATTCTCGCTATCCCGGTCCCCTGTCGAGGATTTGCTCA